ATATATATATATATATATATAAAGCTTCAAAAGAGAAAAATGATTACAATTGAAATGAAACATGATGAGAATATGGGGCCTTTGACTTTTTCGTTTTTCTCTATTGGCATCATTACGAATCTTAGTAGTCTTCATTGGCCATCCACGCACCCTTTGAAAAATGAGTGCAATAACCCAAAATAGAAAAATGAGAAATATTTATTATATAACATCAGCAGCAATGACCATTAAAATAAACCATTAGCAGCAACAATGGCAAGTGGTACACAAATTTGAATTTATTATAAGTAATTATTATTATTGTTTTTTTGGCTAACCATAACTAATTATTATGAATACTTCAAAGTCCAATAAATCTAAAGGTAAAACTTATTTTAGTCATTTACATTAATAAATTTATAGGTTTTAACCTTTCATCTTATATTATGACACTTTTAGTTCTTCATCTATACGAGTTGAAAAAAATAGTCCTTACTTAACATCATGTTATAACATTGTATTAGTTTTGTTAACTGTTAACATTCCATTAACGAAATTAACAAATAAAATTGAAGTTAAATTTTTTGTTTTCTATAACGAAATGCAAACAGTCAGCTAATTGAGCTAACAGTTAGCTAAGAGGACATTAAATAAGGACTACTTTTTTTAATTCGTATAGGTGAGGGAGTAAAAGTATCATAATATAAGGTAAATGGTTAAAACCTACAAATTTACTAAGGTAAATGACTAAAAATAGGTATTTACCAAATTCAAACGGCAATGTGCACCCCATCAGATTTTGGGCCGCTTTTGAATGAAAATGTTTTTTAATTTATACATTAAAAATTAATTATTTAGTATTATAAAAATTTTAAAATTTTTAATTTGATTATAAATTAAAAATTTTAAATTAAGATACACAAATTTAAACAAATTCATATTGAATCAAATTAAAATGTTATGATGGTACCTTTTAAACAATTTAGATGAAATTTGGAAGTTTTATCTTACTCTTTCTTTTAAAAAAAGTATTTGATCTACCACTTTTTTCTCAAAATACATGTCAATTGCTTATAAAATTTGAATATAAAAAAAGGGTAATGCCATAGGGACGCATGGTGCCCGAGCCATTGGTCCCTATAGCGTTTTTTTTTTTTTTAATCTAAAATTTATAATTTCACTTTTTAGTCCTGCAAATTTTTTTTTAATTTTTAAATTATTAAATACGTAAAATTTTAAATATTAAATCTTAAACTTTAAAAATATGAACCCTAACACATTACTAACACTTGATGATAAAAAAAAAAAAAAACCCACATTACTAACACATCATAAACACTAAATCTTTGAAAAATCTAAATACTAAATCCTTAAATGCGTTTTAGGCACTAGGATATGAAGTCTCTCTCAAGGTGAGGAGAGAAAGAGGATTTTTCACTATTTATATTATTTACAGATTACATATAGCATGATTTTAGGAATCATTGATATTAAGTCAAGATTACCAATATAAAGAATGCATTTATGTACAACGGCCATATTTTGATTAGCTTTGAGATCCTTTCCTATTCTTTCTTTGTATTATTTCCTTGGATTGCTCTTTTGACTTGCTCTTGACTGTTGCTAGCTTCTCGACCGTTGCTGACTTGTGCTTTTTCTTTGGTAATAATTTCCTTGATTTCCACCTTTTGCTTTTCTCCTTCATTTCCTTGATTACGGTGGTTGATTATGCCTTCAATACTCCCCTGCAAACTAGGTCGTGGTAGTTGACAGAGGCCAAGTTTGACACAGAGCTCCTTAAAACAATGCTTAGGCAAGGGCTTTGTAAAGATATCTGCTATTTGTGATTCTGACTTCACAAAACGAGTGATAAGATTTCCCAATGCAGCCTTTTCTCTAACAAAATGATAATCTAGTTCAATATGCTTGGTTCTAGCATGGAAAACAGGATTAATAGTGAAGTAAAGAGCACTTAAGTTATCACAATAAAGGATAGGGGGTTTAAGAAGCAGCAAACCAATATTAGTAAGAAGTTTAGAAAGCCATGTAAATTCAGCTGTTGCAGATGCCATAGAGCGATATTTAGCTTCAGTGCTTGATCTTGCCACTGTAGGTTGCTTTTTCGCACACTAAGAGATGCAATTACCACCTACAAATGTGCAAAAACCAATGGTCGACCTTCTAATAAATGGGCAACCATCTCAATCTGCATCTGAAAAACCATATAAATCGAATGTACTTTGATTAGAAATATGCATGCCATAATCTAGTGTGCCAACAACATAATGTAAAATACGTTTAACTAATTGAAAGTGATCTAAGGTGGGAGCATGCATGAATTATGAAACATGATTTACTGCAAAGGAGAGATCAGGTCTGGTAAAGGTCAGGTATTGCAACCCTCCGACTATACTTCGGTAGAAGGTGGGATTTGGAAAATCTTTAGTTTTTGAGGATCGAGCCTTGATGGCCAAAGGGGTAGAGATAGGTTTACAGCTTACCATTTACGCCTTTTGAAGTAGTTCACGAGCATATTTGGATTGGCATAGGAAAAGACCAGACTTGTTAGAATGCACCTCAATTCCAAGAAAATAGTGTGGGTTCTTGAATCCTTGATAGCAAGCTCTTGTGCAAGTTCACCCATGCACCAGTCAATAAGAGTTGAGTTGCTTCCTGTAAGAATCATATCATCCACATATATGAGTAAAAGGAGCATACCTCGATGACTATGATATATGAACAAAGAAGGATCAGTAGAGCTATAAGAAAAACTCAATTCGAGTAAAAATATACTCAAACGATCAAACCAAGCGTGAAGAGCTTGTTTTAGGCCATAAAGAGCTTTTCGAAGATGGCAAACATGTGAAGGATATCGATCATCAATAAAGCCTGGGGGTTGCTCCATGAAGACTGGCTCGAAAAGATTTCCATGAAGGAAGGCGTTTTTCACATCAAGTTGTCAGATACCCCAATCTTTTACAATGGCAATTGTGAGTACCACTCAAATGCTACTGGGTTTTATGACCGAAGAGAAAGTTTTAAAAAAATCTACACCATCAAGTTGATGAAAGCCTTTTGCTACAAGTCGAGCTTTCAACCTGTCTAGACTTCCATTTGATTTTAATTTTGTCTTGAAAACCCATTTGCTGCCTATTATGTTCGTGTCTTTCGTGCGAGGTACAAGGTCCCATGTCTGGTTTTCCTTAAGAGCAGACAACTCCTCATGCATAGCTTTTGTCCAACTTAGATGTTGCAAGGCTGACTTAATGGATTTTGGTTCCATTGGAATGAGTGAAGTCTTGGAATGGACTTGTAAGGCAGCATATTTTGGGTTTGGTTTGCAAATTCCCCATTGTGCCCTTGTGATCATGGGATGAGAACATGAGCTTGGGCTATTCTCTATTGGGTTTGCAACTTGAGCTAGCGTCATGGTTGAGTCAAAAGTAGATATTGAGGCATCACTGTCTTTATTACCCATCTCTTCTTGCTGCTCAATACTAGCAGTATATGGTGCAATTTGGTCTTCAATAGCAATGGCTGGGTTGACAATACAAGAGGTTGCATGGCCTCCATCATCATTAGCTAGAGATGACTCTTGGCTTATAGCAGTTGATTGTGTAGGACCCATGTGAGCTTTAGAATAGGTAGAATCCATAGCATTTATATTCTCTGCAACAGGAAGCAAAGTTATATCAGTATCTTTAGGGGTAAACCACTCATTAAAATTTGTAATTTCTCCTTCAGTTAATTGTTTCCCATATAATGCATTTGGATTTGCAAAAGGGAGACAAGTTTCATCAAAAACCACATGTCTTGACACATAGATCCTTCTTATTGATGGTGAAAAACACTTGTATCCTTTGTGCTTCATATTGTACCCCATGAAAATACAAGGTATTGATTTAGGATCAAATTTATTTCTCCGACAATCCCCAATATATGGGAAACATTTGCATCCTAAAATACGAAGTGAAGTGTAGTCAGGGTGTTTCCCATAGAACTTAAAAAATGGAGAGTCCATGTCAAGACTTGGTGAAGGGAGCTTGTTTATTAGGAAAACAACAGTAGAAAATGCATCAGTCCAAAATTTTACTGGTAACTTAGCATGGAACATCATAGTTAAGCTCAATTTTGTAATATTTCTATGCTTCCGTTCAGCCAAACTATTTTGTTCTGGTGTTTTTGGACATGCAGATTGGTGGTGTATTCCTAAACTTGCTAATAATTGTAATAGATTTTTATTAGCAAATTCTCCACCTTTATCTATTTGCAATATTTTTATTTTCTTACCAAATTGGCAGCCAACATATTTATAAAAATGAGTAAAACAGTCCAAAAAATCAGATTTTTTCTTCATGGGGTAAAACCAAAGAAAACGAGTAAAGCCATCTACAAAAATAACATAATAGTGAAAACCTTCACTAGACTTGAAAGGTGTAGGTCCCCAAATCACAACTGATTTTTTGAAAAGGTTAATCACATGTATCATCTGTTTGTAAGAAAGGAAGTCTACATGTCTTTCCCATTTGATAGCTATCACATATTTCATTAAAATCTCGAATAGTATTAAAATAAATAAGTTTCTTCCAAAAAAGAAAATCAATGATACGATATTGAGGGTGCCCCAATCTTTGGTGCCACCCCTCTTTATTGGTCTTCCTAAAACAACTTGAAAAAAGTGCTGTATATCCACCATCTAGTGCATATAGCCCTCCCTTCCTTCTATCTGTGGCAACTATTTCTTTGGAGAATCTATCCCGATAACAAATCCAGCATTGTCAAACTCAAAAATACATGGTAAATCATTAGTGAATTGACTTACAAAAAGTAAATCTTTTTTGATTTGTGGAACCAAGAGCACATTTTTAAGAGGAATGTAATGATCACCACAATTCAAATGTGAATCACCAACATGTGTTATATTTAAAGCCTCGCCATTTCCTACCATCACACCATCATTTCCTTTATAAGGTTTTAAATTTATAAGCTTACCAAAGTTGCTGGTCATGTGAGCCTCTGCCCCGGTGTCTAGATACCATTCTGCTAGATCATTTTGATTTATAGTCATTGCTGCTAAGGCTTGAGGAATGTCATCAGCTTGATATGCATGATTCAAGCGATTGAAGCATTTAAGAGCGACATGACCATGCTTGTTGCATATTTGACAAACCACGTCAAGTCGTTTCTCAATATCCTTTCCATTAGCCTTAGCTTTAGTGCTTCCCGAATTCTCTGCAATAAGCTTAAAACCAACACTTGACTTGTTGTTAGTGCTAGTTTGAACAAAACCTTTCCCTTTTGAGCTAAACAAACTCTGGCCATTTCCTTTCCCATTTGATTTTTGTGTAAGGAAAGCCATTTGAGGAGGTGGGGCATTTTGTTGATGGTGAGAGTTACGTGACTCAAGGCTTTTTAGGAGAGGGATAAGTTCTTTGTGATGGAACAGGGGGTTTAAGCAAGTTGTAACAAAATTTTCATAACTCGGTCTTAACCCCTGCAAAAACCAATAAACTTTGTTTTTGTCAGAGATTGTCTTACCAATAGAGAGTTCATCACAAATATATTTGAATTTTCTGATATACTCATTTAGAGTATCATCTCCCTTCTTAATACTTGAAAGCTCCTGCATCAAATGAAACTCCTTGTCTTGAGAGCTTTGTGCAAAGTGATCCTCCAGTACCTTCCAAACTTCTAATGAAGTTTCAAGGCCAACAGTAATTCCAAGTACCTCTTTAGATAAGGTATCGGTAATCCACCTGTGAAGAAGACGATCAAACCGTCTCCAAGCTGCATAAGTTGGATTTGGTACTTCCTCTTCATTTGAAAGTACCTTGGGGTTATGCATCTCATATTCCCCATTGATAAATCCCAACAACTCTTGACTTTCAATCAAAGCCATCATTTGGGTTTTCCAAAGAACATAGTTGTCTAAAGTAAGTTGAAGGGAAACAAAGTTAGCCACATTCAGCGTGGCAGGATATGGGTAAGATGGTGTTGATTGGGAACGAACTGAAGGAGCCATTGTTTCTTTTCCTCACCGAAAAGCTCTAATACCATAAAAGCGTTTTAGGCACCAGGATATGAAGTGTCTCTCAAGGTGAGGAGAGAAAGAGGATTTTTCACTATTTATATTATTTACAGATTACATATAGCATGATTTTAGGAATCATTGACATTAAATCAAGATTACCAACATAAAGAATGCATTTATGTACAACGGCCATATTTTGATTAGCTTTGAGATCATTTCCTATTCTTTCTTTGTATTATTTCCGTGGATTGCTCTTCTGAATTGCTCTTGACTGTTGTTGGCTTCTCAACCATTGCTGACTTGTGCTCCTTCTTTGGTAATAATTTCCTTGATTTCCACCTTTTGCTTTTCTCCTTCATTTCCTTGATTACAGTGGTTCATTGTGCCTTCAATAATCCTAACATCTTATATATTGAATCCTAAAGTTTCAAACCCTACCAACATGAGTTTAAATTAGTTTTAGTTAAAATGGTAAGTGCACAAAAATGAATTTGCAATGTTAGAAGTAGGGACTAAATCAGAAAATTACCCTTAAGGAAAAACGAAAAGCCTATTGGACATTCGTTGACCTATTAGGGGTTGGTCCTTTTAGCATTTTCCCTAAGAAATGGTCAATATTATTATTTAATTATGAGAAACTTGTTTTAAAATTTAAACTATATCAAATTGTAAAATAAAAACTATTGGATAGAGAGGGTCTTAATATCAGGAGGCTCATATTTCATTCAACTATTTTAGTAGTGTAATCTAATGCAATTTGATTTGTATAATAATTTTTTATTTAACTATTTGGAAAGATAGGTTATGTTCACTAAATAAACTTGCTTTAATACTAATTAAGAATGTAAACATTATAATGCTTAAAAAAAAAAGAATCTAGACATTATTTTGTTTCTAATTGAGGATTTCAACATTTTATTTTTTTTATTTAAGTACTTAACCTCATTACTTTTATTATATTAGGCTTTGTTGGATGTAATCTTAACAGATGCTTCAAGATTCTTTTAAAGTAATTCATATTTGGTGCTAACTAGTCAAGATATTTGGTGCCAAGTAGTCAAGAATATTAATTTGTAATTAATGACATGGGCCAACAAAATGTTGTAAAAAAAGAAAAATTATAACTTTTGCATGTAGAGCCCACAATAGATCCCATAAAAACACTATAAAGTCTTGATATTGTTTATATGATCAATAACAATACTGATTTTTTTTTTTTTTAAGAAGTGAACACTTAACATGGATCACTTTAATGGAGTTAAGGAACCTACAACAAAAAAATGATTGCGGTTTGTGTGGTTTAATATTGGAAGAAATTGATTGGTTGTTTTCACATTGCAATATTGCTCATAACTTATAAGGGAAATGCTTTTGAATGTAGGAGATGGATTTTGTGTTGTATAAAAATTGTAAAGAAGCATTCCAATATCATAGGTTTCCTTTGAATATTAAGATGTTGAGGCAAGGTTAATGATAATCTTGTTTGGGCGTCTGTGGATAGTTTGGCTAGCAAGACATGAGTCGATGTCGAAGAATTTAACAATAAATAAAGAGAAGTTCTTTCATTTGATTTGAGTAAGAATTTTCTATTAGATTAAAAGTAGAGTTAAAGATTATAACTTTGCTTACTTTGATTAGATTCAAAATCTAGTGCTCTATTTAACAGTGACCTCAAGAAGGATAATGGCTAAATGAAGTCAAGGGAATTGTTTCTTTTTTAGATTTTGGTTAGGTGATTATTAGCCATGATTGTTAAGATCGCAATTTTGATTGTAAGATCACACGATTTTACAATGTTAAGTGCCTTAAATAATTTAAATTAGATAAAAATTATGAATATTAGAAATTCAATCGAAGATCATGTAGAAAATCGTAAAGTCATTAGATGATGCAATCTTAAATAATCTTAGAAGGTAAATTTGTTTGGCTTTATAAATAGTAATTAAGAATGTTTCAATTAATAAAATAAAAAAATCCATAATTTGTAGATAAATCTTCAAAATTAGAAACTAAAAGGTCAACTAACCTCTTCATCTTCTCTACATTATCAAAACAATAATAGAAATGCCGACTAATCTTTAAATTTTAAAATTAGTTTCTAAGTTTTTTTTTTTCCTTCTCCAGCAATAGTGGTAGTAATAATAACATCTCCATCTCTAGAACTTTATTGTTGCCATTGGTTTTGCATTGTTGCCAATGTTACTTGCGTTGCTGTCGATGCTACCTCCATAACTGCTGGTGCTACTTGCATTGCTGCTATTGCAATTTGCTTGTCTCAACTCACCAAAGTCATCCCCTCCATCGAAAACTCCAATTGTACTTTCTTTTGTCATGATTTATTTGATGTTAATTGTACTTTAATCTTCCTAGTTCTTTTATCTTATTGTTTATTCTTTATATGTAAAAATATTTTTTTATTTATATAAAATAAACCTAGATTTATATTTTATTTGTATAATATAATTGTCATAATCCAATTTTAATTGGGGCTAAATGATAAAATTAGAAGGCAATGGACTACTTTTTATAAAGGTTGGAAACTTGAAGGATTGAGAAGAAAAATGACAAAATGACGTCGTTTTGACCAATGGGTTAAAAAATAAAAAGGGGCTAGGTTCAGACGAACCCTAGCCCTCAATTTTTCTTGCTTCCTTTTGCTTTGCCACCAACCACTCTCCCAAAAACTCCCAAAATCTTTTGATTTATCTCTAAATCCATCCAAAGTTTAGATAGATCACAACAACACAAGAAGAGATTTTTGGATTTGAAGTCTTTATCAAGAACTAAAGGGGAAGTTTTCAAAGTCGATTCAAATGAGGAGTCTTGATCTTTAAAAGGTATGAATCTAGTCTTGAAAGAGGGAAAACACGTAAAAAGATTAGATTAGTTTTAGAATTCCAATTTCAAATAGAATTAGATTATTATTTGTAATTTTGGGGGATTGAGATTAGAATTTAGAATTAGAAAAGGATTGGAGTCCTCTCTATTTCTATATAAAAGGGGGGCACCTTCGGCTTTAGGAGGATGGAAAATTCGGGGAAAATTGAGGGAAAAGGAAGAGGCAATTGACGAGCCTGGAAGGAAAATTGGGTACAGTAGCTTGTAACTAGAATTTCAAGAAAATAAAGCTTGATTTTTCATATTTCATTCAGGTGTGCATTGTTATTATTATTATTTTTTTTTTGGTATTGTTCTGTCATTTTTTTTTCTTTTTCTTTTCTTTATTGTCGGTAATTGCTTCCTTTCCTTGTTAAATTGTTTCTTTCATGGTTGTCTGCAAGGGATCTTGAGAAGACTAGTAATAACCTTTCATATTTTCATTCTTCATTTAATTTCCATCTGTTTTGTTCGTCATTAGATTAAAAAAAAAAAAAAAAGGAAATGAAAAGAAAGCCAAAGAGAGGAAGAAGTGCAGAAAAAAAAGAGAAGAAAAGAAAAGAAAGAGCGAAAAAACAGAAGCTAAAATAAATAAAAACAGAAACGGAAAAAGAAAGAGGAAGAAGCAGAAACGAAAAAAAATGAAATGGTGACAGATTCTTTGTTCTTTTGGAAATGATTTTTTTTTGTTTATTATTATTATTATTTTGGTAATTATTATTTTGATATAAAAACTGAAAATTCCCCAAAATTAAAGTATGTAGTAACCATATTTATATGGAAGTTGTGGGGTGCCTAACACCTTCCCCACGCTTAACCAACCCTCCGAACTTAGTTACTCTTTACATAAATCTTGGTGATCTATCCCACCTCATTTGGATAGATGGCTACTCCATCCATTTTGGCACGTCAACAATAATTTTTTTTAAATAGTAATATATTTGATTGATTATAAGTTAGTATCATTAAAATTATTCAATAAAATTATAAAAGAATAAAATCATAGAATTACTGTTTCTTTAATAATTTTATATAATTTATTTTTCTTTTAACTCTTTTTGATTTCTTCTGATTTACTTTTATTTTTTATGTTAAGAATAACAATTATCTTATTTCATTTTAAGTATTACATACTTCATATTTGAACTTTTAAGTACTTCATTTTAGATTTATTTCATCATTAAACAAATTTAAAGATTTATTTTAAGGTATTTACATAATTTATATTTATTTTTGTTAATTATATAAATACACATTTAATTTGTAAGGATCTTACGATCTTGTTTGCCATCTAACAATTTGTGATATTACAATTTGCAATCTCATCTTCCCCTTTCGATTTTAGGTAAAATCTCAATTTTAACAACCTTGGTACTAGCTTTTGTTTTTGGTAATGGACTTGTATTTAGGATTCTATTATAAAACAGGGGTTTGAAACGACTATTTATGGTAGTTGAACTGTTTTGATTGTATTATATTATTTAATTTGTAAATGGGTTTGATAATTCTTTAAACTCTAATAATAACATCATTTTTTATAGTTAAAAAAAATAAAGTTAACAAGTTCATGTTAGCATTCCATTCAACAAAACCTTATATAGTAACATTAATGAATTCAAGTTATTAAATAAGAAAATTTAAAAGTTGAAATCCTTTATTAAAAACAAAAAAGGCATAGATCATTAATATAATTTGAGTTTCATTTTTTTTTTTGACTTTGAATTGCTCTTATATTATGTAATCTAGGCACTAAAATTACTAAATTATTATTAATGAATGAATATAAAAAAGAGTTTTATTAAAAGTATTTTAGTAATTTTAATACTCAAACTGCACAATTAGTACTCCCTCTATTTATTTTTTTATAGATCTAGTTTATTATTTGTGGCATTCATATTTAGTTGTCGATTTTTTATTCATAATAAACATTTAAAACTCTTATTTTTATTTTAGCCTTCTCAATTCATTCACGAATCTCTTTCCAATCTACTTGTACTAGTACTCCTCTTTCTTCTCTCTAACCATTCTTTACTTCCAAATACTGATTAGATTTTACAATGAGGTAAGGCTTAGTGTCATATGTAGGAAGTGAGTTAGGCAATGAAGAGGGCTTCTTTTTCTCTTTTTCAAAATTTTCAATCCAATGTGTAGCCTCTTTAT